TGACTTACGGTCAGTCAAATTAACCGAACCTAAACTAACTGATGTATAATAATTTTGCTCAATTTGTTGACTAGATCTAAAGGTAACAACGACAATCACTCATTACTCAATGATATCATTACTGCAATAAATAGCTGACCAAAAAGAGAGATAAAATTTTATAGAAAAATTGGATCGAAAAATAGTTGGATGTTCCACAATCTGTCGCATTAATTTATCACAAATTTATCATATAATTGGACTGTGAATTGAACCATATCTATTTTGTTATTTTTCTAATATATTTACATATATTCATAGGTTGACATAAACTATAGCAGTATGGAGGACAACAGTTTAACATTTTTCTTCGGTAAGGTTTAATTATTAACACGAAATATTCACTAAGGTCTGTCACACTGACGAAAAGTTCAAAACCTTCTAATTTCTTATTTTAGTCCGAAATAATTACTGTCTATGATAATTATAGGTACTTTAAAAGTTCAGTGGTTTTGGATTCTCATGTGCAATAACAATAATAAAGAATCTATTTACATAAAATTGTTTCATAAGAATCAATTTATCACAAAAATGTTAAAATATTATTTCATATATAATCTTATTATACAACCCTCGTCAACAAACGCCTCGCTTTATGGGTGTAATAATTGTGCTTCTAGTGTCATAATTTATTAATCAGTCCGGTAATAAATCGCACAGATAATAAAAATGGATAAACGAATTGTAAGTGTTCAACTTAAAGTTCACAAGTCAAGAGAAATTCATAGCAGCCTTTGAATGAGGATTTATAAATAAATTAAAAATTTGCATCTCTTTCGAAAGTTGTATGTAAATTTTAAATATTATTCATAAAAACCTAGCAAATCAGGTTATTGGGACGTTATAGTCTTTTGTAATGAAATAGATTAAAGAGATTGGTCGTCTCGTTAAAATAAATCACAAAAAAGGTATTATAAGACGAAAAAAAGTGTCCAATTCCTTGTTTATAAAGTCCAAATTGTACGAATTATATTTCAATGTTCTTTATAATCAACATCAGATTTGACCGCTTAAGATCACTTTTTTTTCGGATACTATAAAACGATGGCCCATGGTAAACATTTTACTCCAATAATAGCCATTTGCAAAGAAAATATGATTAAAAATAAATGATTCTTCAAAAAACGAACTATTAGACTAGTTCCAAAATCAAAAAAATAATTTTAGTGGCTGTATATTTACTAACCGATATATATATTAGGTCTCAAATATATGTCTACAACAATCGTAAAAAAGAGTTCCCGAAAACTACGATTTCAGATTATACTTCTTAATTCTATATTTAATTTATATTAAAATAACTATTTTTAACAATTTTAATAATTGTATGGACTTTATATATAGGAAAAAAAAGTTAAACTTAATGAGAATTACAAATTTAATATGAATTTATATTCATTTCAAATTAAGGAGAACTGCATGGTATCATTTGAAGAAGACCTTAACTTTACATATGCTATATTAATTAATTATTATAAAATATGAATAATTTTGCTTATTGATATAAATTTAAAAGGTGTATAGTACAAATCAGTAGTTCCTAACGTTGGATGGCGCTCTGTGCTGAGGGCAATCTGATTCTTAAGAGCAACAATTTCAAATTACATAAAAATTTTCTTTGCTAACTTTGGAACAAGGACTTTTAAGTAGTTCCGCCGTTTACGAACTTTACTGGCTAGGAGAGTACGATAAAAAAAATAATGTTTATGTGAAAAGTAAGAGTAAGAGTGTATCTTACGTCGTTCGAAAAGGGTTAAATATTTAACTGATGTGTGAACCTTAGGTATTTTATATACAGGAGACTTCGGCATTTTTGAAAGCTTTTAGTAGGGCGTACCATAAAAAGAGTTTTAAAATATTAATAGAAACAATTGGAACTTATAAGTTTTCATCCTATTTCCTATTTAATCGTAATGCTCGTGAATGCTTATTCAGGAAATAAAAGGCAAATCAACTGCGATAATATAATATCCGGAACTAAATTTGGCTATTATAATAATATTGTTTTTGTTATCTATATGAATAAATAAGTGCAGTGGAAATTTAATTCAGTTGACCCAAACTAAGTGAAACGTTGTCAAATTCCAAGACCAATAATTCCAAGACCAATAGTTCCAAGACCATTAACGATGGGATTTTGGCAAGACGGCTGTATGGTCAGCCAAAAATTCAATTAATTAAAAATAATAAAATTTTGTTGTTGTAATTCACTACTGTTGGAAACTCTCTATTGAATTCTCAACTCTATTTCAGTTATGAATAAAAGATCGTGTTCTTAAATTTTATATATAATAAAACTATATTATACTATGTAATATGTACAACTAATATTTATTTATTTATTTAATTTTTTGTGGGAAATTTGATTTCATGTCTTCTATGTCTCAAGACGAGTTCCGACTAGGAAACTTATTCTTTACCTTCATTCATTATTGTTGCATATTAATAATATGTAAGTAAATAAATATACCTAGATGTTAAAGGAACTCTCAAACCTGAATTATTTCTGGTGTAAGCACAAAGCACAAGGCAAATTTCAAAAGGGGAAGTACTGACTTAATATTGTTTCAATTAAATGTTGTTCAAATGCCATTTTAACTGATAAATGTTTAAATTGCAATATACAAGATAACCAAAAATAAAACCAACCAAAACATATCATTCAAGAATTTCCATGCTATTTCTAGAGGTCCCAATAAGGATTTAAATTGACTGCGTAACTAAAAGTAGAAGTCTGAAACACGAGTACTTGCGTTCAATAAATATGGTTGTTTGGTCTTGTGTGGTTCCTTTTGTAAGGTTACTAGATTTCATCAAAGTCACTTTAAACGAGAAATGCTACCAATTTGATGCCTTTGTGTTACGATATGTACGACGTATTTTATCTTGACTCCTATTTTGTAATTTGTTGCTTTTTTCTTTTTCTTAATATTTTACTCCTGTCATATTTCAGTACAATAGAATAGCAAAGTCCAATGAGCAAATTTACTTCTAATAAAATTCCATTGCAGCTGAAGGCGTACAATTCTATAGCAGCTTATGCCTTACGTTGCTTATAGGCTCACATTCTATTCAAAGCAAACAATAGCGAAAATGTCAAGTATAATAATGGCGAAGGCAATAGCATATAGAAAAAAGGACGAATCTTCCTTTGTGAGGGTGGCGTGTGGAGGGTGGCGGGTGGCTACTGTGCAAATTTATATACTCCAACATTTGCTATAGTACGTTCCAACCGTATACGTATATTGTATGTTTAATGCACACAATTTTGGGCGGGAGTAGCTATGGTCATGAAGTGAAAAGCAAAAGGTGTATGTATAGATTGTATAGTTGTAATTTAGTTTAAGTTAGCGTAGCTGTTCTATTAAACAGTTTAGATACATACGAGTCAGATGTGTTGTTCTACACACCATGGCATAAGTCAGTGAAGCGTGCTTTGTTATAAATATTTTTGTCTGATATGCTGCTCAGGTATGATTTTCTCTATTTTTTTTTTTTTGGAACTGCCATATTCTGTTATCATCATTATCATCATCATCACCATCATCAACAACAACATCATTATGATCAACATCACTGTCGTATTCATGACAGCCATCAACGTTCCTTTGTACACTACATCAACATAGTCGTCGTCAACTCAATTGTTGTTACCATTATTCTTGCCTTCTAATGTCCTTCTGCGAAATTTTCATTCATCAACCCATTGCCTTGGTGGTTGTTCTTGGTTAATGCTTCTTAATAGTTGTGTTACATTATTTTCTTATTGTACCAACAGTTTTAGTTTCAGTTTTGTACTCCTGTGTACTCCTACGCCTGCCTGTATGGCATTACTCAGTTTTCAGTAATAATTTTTATGCTTGCATGTTAGTGCTAAGCTGGAATGCGTTCAATCTATTGTTATAGTTATTAAGAATTTTGCCATTGCCATTCTTCTCACCGTTGATATTTCACATACCAGGCATTTGAGTCTCTGCATGATACTCGTATGGCCAAGATTATAACAAAATTGTTCACAAATATGTGTTGTGCTGTAATGCGTTTAGCTTTAGCTATTTTATTTTTTATTTCTTTATTTCAAAACTTAAAGATTTCCAGATTAAGGCATTGGCGTCATCATTTCGAAACTTAAAGAATTCCGCATTCCAGCACTATCCCTTAAATCAAAAAATACAGTAAAATTTTCATAATATAAATTTAAAATTAATTTTGATGCATGTCAGTTCTACTGAGAATTGAACAACAGTTAAAGTATATCACATCAGTCGATACTTTTACATCCAACAATAATGCCAATTTTAAACAATTAAAACGTCACTTCATGTGTGACATGTCAATCACTATAATAATTCGTTATATATTATTAATAAATCCAATCACTCCATTCACTATTTTCTCATCCATTTAACTGCATTCTACTTTTAATATAAATATTGCAGGTTTTAGCGACATTCACAAACACTGGAATAATGAAGAGCACCGAACGTTTGCCGTCCGAATATTTGGCGAAATTGATAAGAACTCAACGGATCTGCGCCACTTTCGTAGGTGCCGACTTTGCCGATCCTAATTACAGATTTAATTGGGTAACTGCAATAATAGTGGTGACTATATTCAGCTATTTCTTCTTAAATATATTAACAGTCATAAAACTGAACAGTTGGTTGTTTCTATTGGAAGCCTTCTGCATGAGCGGCAGTGCAATAACTGGTGGCTCGAAGCTTATTATTGGATTGGTTTATAGAAAACAGTTAGCAAAAATGAATAAGTTAATCGAGAACATCTTTAAGGAATACGAAAAGAAAGGCGAAAAATATTCTGCAGCATTGCATGAGAGTTGCGAACAAATCCGTAAATTTTTCATTATTGTCGGTTTGAGTTTCGTACTGCCGTGTGGTATAATAGTTGTGGTACCTTTTATTTTACAATCGATACATGGTAGGCGTTTTCTAATAATGCATTTTCATATACCTGGCATTGATGTTGAAACCGATTTTGGTTACTATCTCACAAACTTTTCACACTGCGTATGCATGTATGTCGGCGCTTTTGGATTATATGCCGGAGATATGATTATGATACTTTTTTTGTCACAACCATTTCTTTATGTTGATATATTAAAACTTAAAATATGTGAATTTAATGAAAAAGTGGGTGATGTCAAAGTAATGAGTTCTATGAGTTCCAATTTGTCTCTTAATGATATAGTGCTTTGGAACCAATTTTACGCCAAGTAATTTCATGTATTGAAAAATATTTTCTTGTTATAACACTTAATTGTTCTCTTTAAAGCTATACGAAATCGTGTAATACAATTTTTCAGAGTGCAGTGACAATTCAAGTGTTTACCTCAGCTTTATCTATACTTTTAACTCTTTTCATTGTGTTCACATCGAGTTGGCATGGCGCTTATCCTTATCTGCTAATTACTGTTACACACTTAAATATTTATTGCTTTATGGGTACCAAAATTGAAATTGCGGTAAGTCGTACTATACTTTCATATAGAGTTTCGAACAGTTGATGCAATAATAATAATAATCTATCTGACTTACATATTACAATTCACAGAACGAAAACTTTACAGCTGAGATATACAACATCTTATGGTACAAATTAACTACAACTCAACAGAAGATAGTACTTCTTATGCTAATGCAATCACAAAACCCAAATACAATTCTTGTGGCCGGAGTGATGCCATTGTCGGTGAGCACTGGACTGCAGGTAGGGGGAAGATAATTTTGTAAATAATATATACAATATAAATAATTTTGCAGATAACAAAGGCCGTTTATAGCTTTCTAATGGTGATGTTACAATCAATGAATAAAAAATGAATTCATCCAAATTATTGCAAAATCAACATACAGAACATACAAAATGCAATATAAATTTAAAAAGTTCTAGTTATCTATAGAAGACTACACTCCGAACACGTAGATCTGTTTTTCTAACTATATTTAAGTGTGAAAATAACAGTATGCTATAATACAGCACGTAAAATATTCAAAAGCACTATTATTTTCTCTGCACTATACTTAAAATATTATGCAAATTAAAAATTTTAGTAACTAACTTCAAAAATTGTAATTATTAATTATAATTATATTAAATTTTTTGAAATTAATTCCTGATATATATGTGAGATAGTATAAAGTAATGAACAATCACTTATTGATTTATAAAACATATAGAAGCCAGTTTTTTAATTAGGCGTTTATTGGGATATTTGCAGAAGAAACATTGACCCATGGCCTCTAGTTTTAAAATATAGTAAATTCTTTTACTTTGGGATCTTCTTATGACTAGAAGATCACATTATGATTTCTCGGTTTAAAATACAGATTTTTTTATTTGGTGTACAGTGTACACTTAAGAAATAAATACCTAGTCCCATAGACGTTGGTTTTAAAATACAAAAGATTTTTTTCTTTAAGATCTTTTTAGTAGAACTATTCTTTAATGTTTTAATAAGAATTTGTTTTTGGGTGAGAGATTTCCCTATGTTTCCAATCGATTTAAAATATGAAAAAAAGTTTATTCGGCATATTCTTGAAAGACAATTGTCTCATGGGTGCTGATTGTAAAATACATAAAAATTTTTTTCCCGAATATTCTTAGAAAAGTGGTTACCTCATGAGTTAACTTAAGTACATTTCTTAACTGATATTGCTAGGAGATGGTGGGTACCTTAAAATCTCTTTGTAGAATTATTGTTTTAATTTATAGCAATATGTTCTGCGCTTTCAGTAGCTTTCTGACAGTTTTGACAGTATGGACTCCCTGCCAACCGAAAACGTTGGAGATGTACTAGAAAATGTCTGTGGCAGGTAAATATCTAAATGAGTTAATGAGTTACCACCCAATCTTAAATGTAATGTCAAATTTTTGAGAGAATTGTAAGCAAACTCTTACGCAGTGGTATTAGACTATGGTTTAGGGTATTAGTTTGTAAAAAATGATATACTATTGCATCTCTCATGAATATGAGAATAAAAATGAGGACATGGCTACAAAAAATCATTTAATAGTTACTGTCAGAGTGTGAACGCATTTATAAATGCAGCAGCGTTTCTATATTCAATACTAAATTAATGAATGATCTTACTTGGCATTATACTATAATATTATCTAATGTTAAATATATATGTCTCTTGAACGTATAGACATTTTTCGGTTACTTAAGTACAGTTCAATTCAACCATGTCTGCTCCTGACGCAATCCTCGATCGATATATTTTTCATAAACTGATTGAAACCTTAAAATAACTAGAGCGAAACATTTTCTAAGATCGCAATCGGCTCAAAACAGCAGAGTGCAGTGCCTTGTCTAAGTCCCTGATCTGACTTAGCACCCTCATAGAACATTCATCAGGGTTTTTACGAAAACATAGGTTATTAACACGAAAGTGTGGTGGTACCTTTACGCTTTTCAGATTACATATATCGGCTACTGGTTACAATGAGTAAAAAGAATTGGTAATAATTCGCAATAATTATAAAAACCGCATGTGTTACATGCCATGCATGTCTACCTAATACCTGCATTTGTTATATTGGTTTCAGTACTCCCACGCAATGATGACATCTGTATAATTAAAAAGAAAAATATATTTAAGCCATCAATCAAAACTAAAAAACTATGAATTCATATTGAACTTTATCGAAATAATAGTGCATTTTTCACACATATCCTCATTATTTATATTACAGAAAAAATTACTTCAGAACACAGTTGTTAAGCTTACTAACATGTTAGTTCCTCTTCATATTGGAATAGGTTCGTAACTTATATACCGGTAAAATATATATCATTCCATAATAATATGGAATCTCCTTCGAAGTACTTAGCCAAACTTATTAAATTTATAAGCATTTTATCTGGAGTAGTAGGACTAAACTGTACTATTCCAAATTACCGTCTGAATATAATGACAATTTTCCTATTATGTCTACTCCTAATATATATCTTGATTACATTTTGGAGGATTTTTCAAATGATTCAGATACATTGGATGGCAACAATCGAGTCCACGTGTACTCTTGGCAGCGCAGTGTTGTTAATCACAAAGTTGTGCACAGTTTACAAATACAGCAAAGAATTATATGGACTACAAATGTTCGTAGTCCGATTATTTCAGAAATATGAGAATAGAGGACTTGACTATAAAACATCATTGAATTGTTGCTGTGAACGTGTAAAGGCATTTATAAAAGCAACTGCATTCATTTATTCATTGATGAGTTCCATAATGTTTTCATTACCATTCATTTTATTGGCTATAACTGGAAAACATTATCTAATATTACCTATGTTTGTGCCTGGCTTGGATATTGAAACATCATCAGGTTATTTCATTACGTTATTTTTTCACTCGCTTGCTATGTTTTTTGGTGGCTTCTATCATTACGTCGGTGATTTGTTTGTCATATTCTACTTTGTACAGATGTGCAGTGTTTGTGAGATATTTCGTTTGAAGGTGAAGGACTTCAATAATCTTACCTTAAGACTACAACATAAAGAACAACATAGCATCAATGAGGCCTTAATAGACATTGTACTTTGGCATAAAGTTTATTTAAAGTATTAGTGCATTACTTAGTTTGCTTACTAATTGTTTTAGTTAATTTTTTAGATACATTAATATATGCAATAGAGTTTTTTCTATACAAATTAATATCCAGTTATTAACTTGTGCTTTTACTATACTGATGTGTTTGTATTTAGTACTGGTCACAGATTGGATAGGAGCTTATCCACTTCTATTCATTTGTTTTATTAGCATGTACGTGTATTGCATATTGGGCACAATATCCGAAACTTGTGTAAGTAATTCAGTCCAATATTTTTAGTATACATTTTGTTTTACATACATTTTAGAATGAAGACATCTACACCGAAATATATAATATATCCTGGTATAATTTGTTGGTGCCACAACAAAAAGTCGTTAGACTCATGTTGATGCAATCTCAGATGTTAAATCAAATAATGTTTGCCGGACTGTGGCCATTGTCTGTTGATACGGGATTAATAGTGAGTATGAATAATGCGCCAACATCAAGATTTCTATAAAGTTATGTGCTTTAAACACAGATGCATTACAGATAACAAAACGACTTTATAGCATTTTTGCGATGATGGCACAGTTTATTGATAATTAAATATGCCTTAAAAGCTACTTACCAAGGCTGCTTTTGAATACGGGACTCCAATATCATTTGGATATTATAGCACTAAGAATGTTAAATACTTATATCCTGCATATTAAATAAAACATCCTATAATTATATATAGAAAATTAATTTTTTTTGGAAGAAGTGAGTATTGGGACCTACAAGATCTCTTATAGTGTTAATAGTGATATTATGAGTATGAGTACATATGTGTGCGATATATTTTGTTTTTAAAGTAAAGCAAGACCATTATATCACATGTAATTTAAACTGCAATAATTGGTATATTAGCTCAATAATACCTAAAAACTGTAGAAAGTAAAATGCACAATGATATCAAGACTGAAAAATTTGTTTACATATACTTTTTCATGTATGAATGGACGTCTTTCTATTTAATAAAGTACATAATTAGTATTATTGATTTATAAAGAATAACGAAATAAATTTTCCGCGAAATGCCAACGTAATCATAAGATAAAAATTTGCAATTTTCTTTTGATACCTTATCGCAGTTCAATCCAGAGAACGGCCCACGGGCCTCTAGCGGCCCGCGGCTAATATTTGTGTGACTCGCGACTTGTTTCTAATCTACCACACTTAGACAAAATTTCTTTGTAATATTTTATTTTTATACACATTTTATACACATGCATTATTTCATTTTTTTGTATTCCAAATAAATGAATTAAAATATTTTAAATAATTTATTACACTTGACGTTAATTTAGTTAATTACCAAAGCCTTTAGTATATATTTCTTTGTACAACTGGTTCCAAAAACTCATACTCAATACATTATATTAATAATGGTAATAGTGATACAATTCTTAAACATTAATTAATAAAGAACATATAAATTTTTGTATTTATAGCATATGTTTATTAATATATTTATTTCTACGGCCCTCCAACCTATTCAATTATTTGTACAGACCCGGGATCACATCTAGTCTGGACAGCCCATTCTTATGGAATACAAAATATACCTATCATTTTTAACTGAAATTTTTTTATGGTTTTCTGCTTTTTTATTTTTGAATTATAGTGAATTTTTACAAGTGTAAATAGGAAGATACTATTTCTCAGAGTGTTAAAAAATTTTAATATATCAGAACAATCACAAAAATTAATAAAAGCTAAAGGAGAAAGTAATGTAGTCATCTAATAATCTTTGAATTCAGATGAAAGTTCAATAGTTGATAGCACAGGAGATCGAAACACAAAACAAATACGCACCTTCAGTTTACTTGGTGGATTGAGTTGACTCGGAAACTCCTGGAGGTGGTTATAAATACCATTTTATGGTAATTGCTTTCCCAGACCTTTCTAGGGTAGTGTGTTTGGTAGAACATTTATTAATGGAAAACTTGGAATACAATTTTAAGGCCTTAGAAGATCATTCTATGATCGACTCAAAAAACCTGTTTTCTACGGTTATGGTTTTATTGTCTATTGAAAACTGTAGTTTATATTAAGATTTTAGTTTCTTTGGTCAAAACGGATGTTAAAAATCAATATAATATAAAATAATTTTAGTTTACATAAGCTTAAATTAGTAAAAAAAATTTGTTATCATGGTTACACAATTTTAATAAAATAGCTTCTGTTTTATTAAGTTTAAATTAATAAAAAATATTCGAAACTATATTTAAAAAATTAGAATCTTTTATAGTAACCATTACATTTTTTATTGTATACAATTTAAAAATTTGATTCTTTACTGTGCCATTAAGGACATCTAAGCATTATCGTATTACACATAGAGCGACAAAAATCCTGAGTCTTCAGCCCAAACACCAAAACATTGCAGTGCATTAAGGAAGAAAATTTCCTAAAGGGTATGTGGCAAATTATTGGCAATGATGTTCTATCAAGTGTTAAATACAGATGCTGAAACGAAAATTCTGAATCTCCAGAGAACACATCAAAAAAATGTAATGTACTTGGCAAAGGCAAAGAATAAGTAATCCTAAATTCAGAAACACTGTTATGCTGTTAAGAGAGTAATTAACACATATTACCATTAAATCTATTAAATCTATTTTGCATTAGTGGGAGGGAGCACAACAGATTTCTTGATTACAGTTCTTCATATACCTCACACTAACAGACAACAGATAATATGGTATAGTGTAATTTGAAATGTTCACGATGCTTTCATTAAATTATTTGTTCGAACACAAGTTCTTCGATTAGTTAGCTGATATAAACAGATCTCCATTATTTTATTGGCTAATTCAGAATTCAATTATTTTCACTAATATCAACAAAGGTTTTAATTTTTAAAATCTTTAAGATTATGAATATTAATTTGCACGTACTGAAGTGGAATTTAAATTATGTTATTGATAATGCTAATAGCATAGTTTCTGTTTAAATAATTACTAATTCTTAAATTTGTTATAAAGCTACCAACTTCTTTATATATTAACTAGGTTCTTTGAAAGAACTAGTTCACTTACAACTCCCTGCCATTATATAAATCGAATTCTATCTTGTGTATGTGTCTCCAACACCGAATTGTATTGTAATATTTGACTACTCCCACGTATTTAAGTTGTCTTTTATTTCATTTTATTTACTTTTTAAAGAATTTATATATTTAACCTATCAATCAGAAAAAATATGTTATAATTGGTATCAGACACATGTCAAAACAATAATGCTTTATTCACACGTCGCCTCTTTATTATTTTCATTCAAATATTAATCACAGGACACAGTTGTTAAGTTTAGTAAGAAATCAGTATTTTTTTATACAGATAGAGGTGCAGGTGTTATATATCCTTTACAATAAAGTATGACAACAATAATGGTCATAGAATCTCCTTCGGTTAATTTAGTCAAGCTTTTAAAGTTCATAGGAATCGTCTCAGGCGTAGTAGGAATGAACTGTACGATTCCAAATTATCGGTTCAATAAAATGACTATTATGATGTCATTTGCGCTAGTAATATGCAACTTATTTATATTGTGGAGAGTTTTCGAAATGACTCAAATTCATTGGATGGCTACACTAGAAGCTGGAAGTACAGTTGGTACAGCTTTCCTGGTGACAACAAAGTTAGTCAACGTTTTCGCTCATGCTAATGACATATATTGTTTGCAAATGTTACTGGTACAACTATATCATGAATTTGAGAACAAAGGACACATCTATAAGATATCATTAAATAGATGCAATGTACGTGTGAAGACATTTGTAATAGCGACAGGTTTACTTTATTTTTTATTAAGTTTTGCAATGCTCTCAATACCATTTGTCATATGGATTGTGACAGGACATCGCCATTTGATATTACCTTTTTATGTGCCCGGTTTGGACATCACTACTTCATCTGGTTACTTTATTACATTGTCTTTTCAATCGTTCTTGTTTTTCTTTGGTGGTTTTCTTCATTATGTCGGTGACTTATTCGTGATATTTTATTTAGTGCAAACTTACTGTCTTTTCGAGATATTTCGTTTGAAAGTGAAGGATTTCAATGACCTCACCGAAAATCTACGACTTAGAAATCAGTGCAATATGAACAAAGCCTTAATTGACATTGTGCTTTGGCATAAATTATACTTAAAGTATTTGTCTATTACTTAATTTATTCATTCATTTTGTTAGTTAATTTTATGCAGATATTTGACAAAGTGCAACAAAACTTTTTACATACAAATTCTTGCTCAAGTGTTTTGTTGTGCGTTTACTGCACTGATGTGCCTGTATTTGATGCTGGTTACCAATTACTTGGGCGCTTACACATTGCTCGGTTATTCGTTGGTTAGCCTATACTTGTACTGCATATTGGGGACTGTATCCGAAAACTGCGTAAGTAATTCCTATCAAAGAATTTAGTATGCAATAAGTTTTGTATATTTAAGGGCGAGGAATTCTACAATGAAGTATATAATATATTCTGGTACAATTTGTCGGTACCGCAACAAAAAATTGTGCGACTTATGTTGATGCAATCTCAAAAGCAATGCCAAATAAAATTAGTCGGAGTATTGCCATTATCAGTTGACACTGCGCTACAAGTTTGTATCAGTTATATCTTCAACATTCTGTACATAACTAATTCTGGTATATTTCAGGTCACAAAATTTCTCTACAGTACATATATGATAATGTTAAATTTAATTAAGAAGTAAGTTGCTACTGAAATGGATTGCTGTAGTGGATCCCTTAATATATATGGAGTACCTTACATACTGAAATGTTAACTATACGCGTAACAGCAAGCTTCAGTTTATTAAAAGAATATACACTCGAGTATAAACAACTAAAACAACTTATCTAAGAGAAGTAAAATATATATATTTAACTTAAGTAGCCTGTGAATGCAATTAGTTAAGTTTAAGGAATAGGAGTACTGACATAAGAGTTCGATTTTGTTATTAGAGCTCTCGTTTTCGATTTCGTTCATTAGCTTCATCCTTACTAATATCTCTACTCTACCTGCTTTTTCGATTAAAAAACTCGAATAGACATTGGTATACCTACACTTCACTATATGTGAAAACTTTTCTGCTATCACGGTAAAGTAGTTTATACACGTTTATATACTAGTATTTCGGTTAATATTTTGTCAATTTTCTACAGTTTCATATTGGGTTATAAAACAAGAACAAATTTATACTGATACGCAACAATAATATTAATAAAATTATTATTTAAATGCTAATTATTTTGTTTATATATACTCAATAAAAGTTTTTATATTTCTATTAAGTCCAAAATATTAAACGCGAGAGGGCATACCTACATATATCTGCCATCCACAATATGTTTTCTTATTATTCATTTGTAAATATAATCTTTTAAGAACATTCAGTACCAATTATGTTATAAAATAGAATAAAATGATGTGTAGATATGTGCAGGCAACTCAGTAGTAAACACCGCTAAATCAACAATATTAATGTAAATACTAGTTTTACTTTCTGTGTCAGATCAAGCACATTATGTGCTTACATATTGCTGAAAATACCAATCGTCTTAGGACCGAGAATATTTGTAGTCTTACAACAAACATTTTGATTGACTGTTCATGGTTCTTGAAAAAATTTAAAGAAATTGTAACTAATTGTACTCAC